GACGAAGATTCTTATCCATGACGAAGCGAATTTTAATTTTTCGAGCCTCCTTTACATTGGAAGACTAAACGGTGAATAGCAAAAATGGGTTAGCAATTTCGCATGCGAAAAGCTACAGAAGTTAGCCAAAGAATGCCATGCGTCAATTTTACGATGGGGAAATCTGAAAGAATCCTCCAGCAAGCTCGCATACGTAAAACGAGAAGACGCTTGCACCTGTACACGAAGCGGGCTCGCTCGAACATCCCGGAGGATAGTTCGCGGCTAACCTTACAGGTTTCCTCTTCCGCGAACGTTCGAGTTAGCCGTGGAGGCCACGGGAAGCCGCTTTTACACCTGAATGTATATATCTGCCGCGATCGCCAGCCAGCCGTGTATATACCGTTGCGGTACACAGGTAGAGTCATAAAGTAAATCAGCTATGATCGAGCGGCCACGCTTCGAGCGGATCCGAGCCGAGCCAGTTCTCTAAGTCCAATACGAGATACGCGGTACACGTGGACGTGCGTCAACGGGTTATAAGACGCGAGAGGAAGAGAGAGAGAGTGGAATACAAGGAGGATGGAACATCCAGAAGAAGGATACCAGCCACGATTTCTCGATAAACGATAAGATCGAGCAGGAAATCGAGGAACCTCGGGGAACGATGCACGAGAAATTTTTGTTCACCTTGACGTATGTACGTACGCAAATACACCGACGTTCCGGACGTCGTCGCTTTAACACCGACGTCAGAACGCTGTCACGCGTCGCCTCGATAAGCATCGCGGGGCCCTATTTGGACGCATTCAGGGATGTCCTTCGTAAATTAAGCGTACAGCGCGACCTTGACCCGGCACCGAACACGGTTTGCGCGGTGTCCAGTGATCGCGGAACGGTTCAAAGTTCATTCAGAGACAATAGCGTCACTGGTCTTCCTTGAACCCTTTCGTCAAGGACGGCGAACCTTCGCCGTTGGTCCCACGGATTAGCGGAGGATTAATACGTCTATGGGTAGTTTGAAATCTAGCACATGGTAGGAAGATAAAAATATTCTTCGCGTATAAAATAAATTTTCATCAAAAATGTTACTTTATAAAACGGTAAATGCTTCTTCTACAAAATAAAAAATAAATTACATACATTAAAAATCTATTTTTTTTTATAATTATCAATTAATATACAATCGTTCATCCACTGGCTTGCTTACCCTAGCTTGTCGTTCGATCGAGAAGGGTTAATTCGACGGAGGAGGGCCAGTATCGTCGCGAGGTTGTTATCGAAGAGGGAGTAAAGTAATGCGGCGCGGGTTCGGGCGGAGAACGTGGTGCGTTGTCGGGTCATTCGAGGGGCGATTTAATATAAATCGAGAAGACGAATGGTGCACGCGGCCTCCTTGACTCGCGCTCGCGCTCTCTGTGTACCCCTAGGCGTACATGTATTTAAACAGGCGTTTAACATAATTCATCTACTCTCGGTTCTCTCGCGGTCTCTCTTTTCTGCTAGCCGCGGCTCGATCCTCTTTCGCTTTCCTCGTTTCTTCCGCTTGTTCGACCCACCCCCCTGCTTCTCCACGACCTACACATTCTATCTCCTCTTCCTTCCAACCTTTCCTTTGCCGCGAACGAATCAACCTCGCGGAAAGGTTCCCGCAACCGCGACGAAAAGATCTCGATGCATCGGTCCCTGTCATCGTTGTCCTCTTCTTTCTCCTCTCGCAGGCGAATCGAGCGGATGGGACGCGCGCGTCCACCAGCGAGGACCAGACGCGCTCATATAAATGCAAAGTGGCTTTGGGAATAGGCTGGAACGTCGCGAGTAAATTATGAAACGAAAGCTTCTCTTCTTCGCTTCCGACCTCCGCGGTCCGTTCGCGAGAGTGCTTCGTAACGATCGAAGCCCTGATCGATTGATTTTTCTGCGCCACTCGAAATCGATTAACCAAATCCATATGCAAATGTCCAGTGTTCGGATAGAAACGAATGCCGTTAATGAAGATTAGCTGGTCCGAAGTTAATTAATCGAATACGCTGGATGCAGCGAGAGAACATCGAAGACACGTACTCACGCGAGCGAGTATAATGCTGAATATTCACGAGAAGCTTATTACCAGGACGAGATGGAAGATGGTTTAATTGGTAAGGAACTTCCGAGCCTCGAGCTGCCGAGTGAAATTTGTTAACCGACCAGTTTCAGCCTCGTTTTCCGTGAACGATCGCGCGACTTGATGGGAGCCGTAATCAAAATACGTGCGTGTTCCCTAATTGCTGTGAATTTTAATATCTCACGGAACGTAACGTGCCGCGAGCTTTGATTACGTTAACGTCTTCATGGATTTTAATAACGCGATCTGAATTCATCGCGTTTCGAATTAACGCGAACGCGTGATCAAATCAGATTTCTGCTCATTTCAAATATTATTATTACTCGGAGATTATTCTCCGTGTAATTAAAAGGAACAGGAACATACTACCGGGAAGAACACAAAAAACATACTTATGTGAATAACAATGGTGAAGACTAGTAAAGATTATTAACTCTCGGATGGTGGGCCATGTAGAGAGACCCAATTTTTAATTTTATATTATTTTCATTTCCTAAATGTTCTTCCAACATATAAATCAGACTCCGCTGTTCAAGAATTAACTAAGAAGGAGCGAACAACTTCTTGCCGTTTCTTGGATGTTTTTAACTTGTCATCGTGCAGAGCGGGGCTTTGTTATTACGCGCAGAAGCTCGTAAAGCACGCGCCGCGTGCACGTGAGCAACACGAGGGCGCATAATATCGGGTCCCGCGTAATTACCGCGTCGCGAGGAAGCTTTATGGCGGCAAACTCGGCGAGTATTAATTTTCTTTCGCACCGTGTTGCTTACTCGGAAGGAAAGCGAGAAGGAAAAGGGTCAGGCAGATCGGTGGAAGAAAGGCGAATAAAAACGGAAGAAAAGGAAGATGGCTCGATGCTGTAGACCGATGTACCACGACGGTGCCGGCAAATGGCGCGTTTCGTTCTCGCTCGCGCGATTTTATCGCCTCGTTCGTATACCTTTTCCCCTCCTTCCACCTTGGCTCGTTCGTCTCACCTTCTACCGCCTTTTCACCTTCCTCCTCGCGAACCATATCTTCGAATCGCGGTATTAATTATCGCGGGAACGACTATTCTTCCGTCAACTTATTCTCCTCTCGCCAGAAAATTATTAGAGTCGCTCTGCTAACGATCGGGAACCTATCTTTCCTTTAGAAGGGTGAGGCTTTTGATATAACAGAAGGGGGTGAAGGAGTTTTTAGATCTCATAGCCGACTGAAATCAGTCCACGCTGCGATCAGATACCAGTACAACCAGCTGCTTCTAAACTGAAGGATCGTTTAGAAACACCTGCTGCTTCATTCCCTTTTGTATCGTCATTTTTAGCCGAAGCTGTTGGCCCAGGGACCAGTGATCAATATTCCGCAGGCTTATTTTTTTCTCTTCCTGATTCTACATCAGGGATGAGTATCAGGGCAATCTATCTAAGTAACGCGATCCACCGTGACCCAAAGAAAGTAGGGTAAAAGACCGAGGTACCGGACAGCCCCCTACTACTCGGATGCAATATTAATTTTCACGATTTGCAAAATCCAGATTGTATAAACTAAAATGTAGCATTCTCTTCATAATATTTGAAATTACAGTATTCTAAATAAATTAAGATTTTAATCATTAGTGTAGGGGAAAGATATAAATTCTGGTTCTTACAATTATCGATTTTCGACCATTTTCGTTACCAAAATGACTAAGTAATAGTATTAAAATTAAATGATAATAAAAAGTGCATATGGAGGTGATTCAATGATATATAAAAAAATTCAAGTGAATCCGGTCACTGGGTTCAATTTTACGAGATTTCCAATTACCGGTGATCCATATATGGGTCATTATTTGTCACGCACTAAATGTCCGGTATATGAGTGTTTACTTTGGTAAGTTCGACTTTACGCCGAATTTTTGATCCCCCAACAGAGGATGAATAATAAAAGCAAGCAAAGTCTCGCGAGGTAGACGCGTGTGTTTTTTCTCTCGGGTCTCCGTACCAAGGGGACGGCGTAAGGAGGTGGGTCCCGAGGTGCAAACTTCGTCATTGTCAGGGAACTGACACTCGGGGGTACCGCAGACGGGGCATCGCGCCATTAATAATCTTAGCCCGAACGAAGAAACAAAGAGGAGGAGCGAGAAACGGGCCGCACGGGGTTGGAGAAAAGGGCAGCGGTCGGTCTGCGTGTACCACGCATCACGCCGGCGTGGCGCGCGTTTCTTCGCCGTGTATACGTGGTAGGTATCCGAGAGTGTATCCGATGCGTCCGATAGGGCGGGACACGAGCATAAACAATTGAGCATCGGCCTCGCCCCTTCCCGATAAAATGTAATAAAACGAGAGGTCTCGCGCTCTCCCTCTTTCTCTCTCTCTGTCTCTCGTTGCTCTTTTCCAACCCTTCTGTCTTCTCGATCACGAGAAGTTTCTCGCTCATCTCGGCCCTGGGGCCAAGAATATCGAAATAAAGCAGCGTCAGCGCGATATTTCAACGAGCCACGGGGGTCGTCGGCGCTAGATACGCCAAGTCCCGACCTCCTACGACTCTGCTCCAAGGTCTCTTTCGCCGCACAGAGATACGAACAGCCGAGTACGATTTTTTTTTGGTAACGAGGTAAACGCTGCAATTATGGCCGGATGCACGCGCAACGAGCCTGCGTTCGATCGAAGCCGACGCGATGGCTCGCTCCTAGCCCAGGGAGTCGAGCCGAGATATGGAGCCAGCTACGACGCTCGCGTCATTCTTTGGAGAACGTTTTTTAGTGTCTCCGAGATTAGCGCAGGTGAATTAAAGGTCTCTTGCAACCACGTATATCTGATTGACCGTTGTATTCGTTTAGTTGCATAAAACTTTGATATTGATGAGAAACGTGGTCGTTAGATAGCATCGTTTACTCGACACCCTTTGTATCAGTAGAAAAAAAAAAAAAAAAAAGTACGATTCAAGAAAATTCTGAATGACGATCGCGATCGCATTTACATAAGCCACGAGGTTCGCGTTCGATCCCTCTCATTTAGGAGATGTCGAGGGCGGCTTTCTCCATTCGGCCGGGAAGACTGGAACCGTGGCGCGGGTCCGATTAATTTGAACCCGAAACCAGAGGCTGACCTAAAGCAGAGGTAGGATTTTAATTGGAATAAGTTTCGTGGAGCGTGCAAAAAAGCCTGGTCGAAGAGGTTCTGGTCGACGTTCCATGGCCCGCTTCGGGCAACTCGTCCGCGTTGATTCCGTACGAGAGCGGTCCCCGCGTCGTTTCTTGCTCTGGCGATTAAAGCGAATCGCGTCGCTGTCGCTTCCTAATTTATTAGGCCGCGTTACCGAAGAGAATCGGCAACGAAGCGGCGTTGAATTAAATTCGCAGCCACGGTCCGGCTTCGAAATTAGATTCGGCCGAGATAAACGTTAGGAGTCCGGGGGAGATGGACCCGAAACGCGATTCGGGGTTCGTGTGTACACTCGGCCGGCTAAATTGAGACATTCGCAATGGCCGGGCGTCGAAAGGAGATCGTATCGATGATTAATGTCGTTCGCGTTCTGTTACGTAGCGTTCAGAATGTTGCGTCCGGTAGAAAAGCGGCCAATTACACCGCATAACGCTTAATGACCTCGATAAGTGGTGCCATGAAACGATACGTATTGTGACGCCAGATTATACATGCGGCCACGGTTGGTCCGCTCGTCGCGTAATAACTGCAATTTCATCGGGTCTTAATCTTCGTTGGATCGGTTCCGAAGCAGGCCATCGAAAAATCTGTACTACTCTAGCTCCAGGCGTTCGTCGTTGACTCTAGCGCGAGTGGAAGAGAGACAAAAGGATAGAACACATCCGAGTCGCCCGATTCTCACCGAAGGGAAGAGACTTTTCTCTTCGCTTGAATTAATACCGACGTCGGTGGAAAGCATGCCAGAAGAAGAAAAATAAATAAAAAAAGAAAAAGAAACAACAAGAGGAGCAAGGTACAGGCGGGGGAAGAAACGGTGATCGTTCTTCTCCCGGCAACCTGGACAATAGCAGCGCCGCCAAATGTAGCGGACAAACAAATAGCCAATTAAAATTCCGGTTGCACGGCGAACATACTTGTATCAGCTGCAGTACTACCAACCATTGTGCACCGGTGGCATGCGCTCGCGACCGAGCGAGCCGGTGTCTGGATCGGTTGACTGGACCAAGTACCAGAAGATCGGTTGCTTACCAGCAACCTTCAAGGACTATCCGACTACCCGTTTGCACCGTTCCTCAAGATGAATTCTGTCCCTCGGATGAACATTCTTATCTACCGATCGAGTCTTTATCACGAGGACAATCCGATTTTTTGAAATTATTACTTTTTCAATGTTTATGTTTATTAAATAAATCGCCTTTCCGAAAAAGTACGGCAGTCTAATTTACTCCCGAATACTAGTTTTCCCTCGATTAATCATAAATTTCGTTGGGTTGCTTTTCTTTTCATTTCATTTTCGCCGAATCGTGTAGTCGATAAACGGATCGAATCGCAGGGCAACTGGAAATTACCTATGGACATTGGCTCGTTTCGTTAATTGGTAGACGGATTCTGGTAGTAAATCAAGGCGAGCGTTCGTGCACAACCGGTGCGATAACCGATAAGGGGCTGGCCTTTGCGCGATCGTTATTGTTGCTTGACCCGAACGCTCGATAGTATCGCAAGGATCATTAATTAAAACGAAAAATTAATTATCTAGGAGCAGGTCATTTCGTTTCCACTTGCCGCGCTCCGCTATAAATGTCGGACTTTAAATTACATACTTCCACGCCTCCATCGTTCTTGAGAAATCGTTTAATCAATAGATACCGATTTTCAACCGGTGTGTTATGAATGATGATAACCACGCTTCTATCGTTCCGAAGACCGATCGTGGCTGGTGAATTATCGTATCCACGAACCGTTTCACGAATTTTACATCTTTCAAGATTTTCACGCAACACAATGGTTGGCTCGGATGTGAGAAAACAAAAAAATCATTGAACGTCGATCGATCCATGGTCACGCGGCGAGAAGGAACGATTACTAAATTACAACGCGCCCTTAGATACGATCGCGGGCCCATAATTGCAGGACTATTCATACATTATTGGCTCGTATATTATTTGACGCGATTCAATAACTCTGAACCGGGACGGTCGATGTTATCTCTCCGTCGTTAAGCCGCATTCGCAATATCGATCGTCGCTGATGAATGGCCGCGTTTAAGCCAGTCATTTTTCCCCGCCGATTATTAACGTTAAAATTGAATGTGTCCGACGTAACGGCGCGGGGTACTCGCGCGAAGACCACGTACGAAAACAAAGCGAGCAGCATCGTTTCTTACCGATCGAGATCGATCTTCGGATGTGTGTTCAGGTCCGACGCGACGTGGCGACGATCGAACTACTGGGAACGCCTCGCCGCGGCCAAGCAAACACAGAGGGCTATAATTTATCAAAGGTAGCCAAGCTGAATGAGAAACTTTCCCCGTGGCTTTAGGTTTCATCCGTGAAACTTGTAAACTACTCGTTTACGCGACGAACGAAACGAATTCGAACTGTCCTCGAGACGCGAGCGTGTAGGAGGAAAGCTTTCCGAAACGAATGGTTAGGCTTAACTGTCTTCGTAAATCGTCACCGTTTACCAACGGTTTCGAGTACACAAAGTAGCGGTAAAAGATGCATCTAACGTACGAGCCGGTGATAAATACATCGTGATTACGATGGCTGGTTTATTCGTGAAGAAAATAATTTTAGCGTAGGCTAGACAGTTTTATAGAGGTTGAGATTATTGGGAAGTTTTCAACCGTTCGGATCTTCTGGTACTTCTCTAATTGCAAAGATGTATGCGATGGTTAGATTATTGCTCGCAATTAAGCTTCCATAAAGTTTCCTTTCTACTGGAATTTTAATAAAGTACTCTACGTTTAAGTGTGTACTAAATAGCGGTATCGCGGTAGAGAATCTTACGGAATTCGTGAAATAAGCTCGAATTCTTAGCATCGTAGCGATGCATCGAACGACGGACCATGGACCATTCAATTTCGCGTTTGTTCCTTTCAAAATTACTCTCCTAATTCACAAATTATGAATATCCTTCCATATATTTTGTAATTTTGGGTCATAATTGACCCAGGTTTCGCTGCTCAAGGGTTAAACGCGTAAACTGTAACAAACCAGATCATGAAACTCTCAAAACTCTAACCCTTAAACTAAGCTTTCGATGAATGAAACTGATCGTTCGAAAATGTCCCGTACCTAAGGCACCTATCGAGCAACGTTGCAACACGGCTGTATATCAAAGCGTGGCTCTCGTAGCAGGAGGAAGGCAACGATGCCGTTATCGTCGCACGAAAATAATGTATTTTACACGCATTGGCCGGCGTGGCGCGTGGGTACGAGCAGAAATATATGAAGAATCCTGTGCGATGTACCTGCGCTCCCGCAGAGGCGACTACCTGCGGCTAATTTACAACGATGCGCGCGGATAACTTCCGTCGTTATTCTCCCGCGCGATCCTCTTCCTGTTGCTTCGTTTCTCGTAACGGACCAGCAGCGATTAGCCCTGAAATACCTGCGTTCGTCGTTTGTTGCGTAGGTCGATCCGGATCTGCATGAGAAAAATCCAACCACGACCTTCTACCTGGCCTGGTCTTCTTCTCGGTTTAAAGAACAGCGACCACCTTGCTGGGCGAGCAATACGATAAAATACGAAAGAAGTAGCTGCTAGGTGGAAACCGCGAAACGTCTCTACTTGCACCCAATTAGCGGTCTAACAGGTATGAACGACGCTTAAATTCGCCAAATGAATCGGGCTAATGAAATTGAGAAGTTAACGCCCGCGATGCGATGTTCCAGGTGCCGAGGAATGGAGGAGGAGGAGGTGCAAACCGCCCCGAAGAACGACGCCAACGAACCCGCCGATAGAGACTCTTGCGACGACGTAAATTTTCTCTCCCTACTGGAGAACTCGAAACGTGAATTAACAGACGATATTTAATAATTGCAGGAGGATGCTCCGTTCCCGACCACCACGAAGAACGCGTTGATAACTACTCAACCAGGACCTTGCGATGCCTATCCTCATCGCGTCAAAGTGTCGATCGTTGGCGTAGGAAAAATTGGGATAGCTTGCGCCATCGCGATCCTGATGAAAGTTAGTATCCGCGCTGATCACGATGCTCGATCGAACGCCTGATTCCAAACTATCTTCAGAGATTGGCGAGCGAGGTGTGGCTGATCGACTCCGACGCGAACAAGGCTTCCGCCGAGGCCGAGGACATTCAGCACGTCGGCGTTTTTTTGGGAAGTCCTCTGGTAACCGGCACGTCAGGTACTCGAATCATCCGTATCTCAATTGAAACCGATTTTCGACGTAACTTTCACCGAAACCTGCATCTCGGTCATTCGTTCCGAGTATCACGCTCGTTGAAATCTCTGCGTGCGTTCCACATGCAACGACGCGAAGGAAGGTAAAAGAGTGAATCACACCTCGAGCGTTTCTTTTGACACGGTCTACTTGCTTTGAATAGAACTAAAAGAGCCCATCATCGAATCAGTGTCGATCCGAGCCACGACGAAGCTCGAATTCCAGAAATTTCACAGAAAACTAACATCAATGGCGATCGTTCGAGCCGATCGGGACACGTTTTTTGAAAGATTAACCCTGGTCATTTTGGATTGTCGAACGAGGGAACTTCTGTCAACGGGCAACGGGTCAGAAAGAACGGTCACATGGCCCGAAAGGGAGGGAATGAATTTTTGGGTTAGCAGCGAGTTCCGAGATCCGGATCCTTCTGGTCCTGTCCTTTAATCTCGGTCCTCATCTACATCGCCGCGTGCTTACACGCGGCCGTCCAGAGCAAGCGTTTCCCCGAGCTTTTCACGAGCAGGCTCGTAAATTTCATGCCACTCTTATTTATCTCGGTCGTGATCGACTCCACGATACATTTTTTTTCCGTTTCTCTCCGCTTTCTCTCTCGTTCTGTCCTTCTATCCTTCTGTGCACGACCGTCGGACCCGTGAACGTGCTCGGTTGTAAAAAAATATACCACCTCGCACGGGGAATTCGGGAACAAAAGACTTGGCTGGATGATGCCTTTCGCGGTCATCCTCGGGTGAAAACACTGCCTCGAAGCTCGCGGTTCCTTGTTTCACTAAGCCACGATTTACAATTATTTGCGGTTGTGATAATTAACCAGTTAACTGCGGAAAATTGCTAATGATTGTTCCGAAGCAAATAAACTAACACATAACTTTAATCGTGACTTGTAATTACCAGAAGGAGTATTCTTTCTTTCTTTTAATAAAATTTTCACTTTATTATTGTTATTTTTAAGCAAATGTGATCGAACTCAAAAATTACTAACCAAAGTTTGAAATACAATAAAAGTTGATTTGATAATTATAAAATTTCATTGAATTTTAATCGATCTCCTTTAGATCTCCTTCTGACTGACGCAACTATCGAAAAAATCGTACGAGAAGGGGTTAAAAATCTATCTATTGTAATTAGAACGTACAAGGAAATAGGTCAATTGGCATTTACATCAATTTCGTTAGACGAAGCATTTCGCGCTCGTACGACACTACGTTTCTTCTCTTTAATCTGTTCCCATCCGAGGTAGCAATTACCGGAACAAGTAGAACAGACTCGAGTTTTTACCGGCTAATTTATCTCGGAACAGCATCTTTCGCAGCGCGAGTGTATCTCGTTCACGGTTCCATTGCACGTTTACACAAAGCCTTACATAAAGGTGTTGACTAAAATCTGTACACCCTCCCTCCCACCCCGTGAGCCCCTGAAACCAGATTATACCGTGTATTCTTCGCGTGCTTATCGGCACATCTAACGGAAAAAGAGAATCCCTTGTGCCGGGACAAGGGGAGAAAAGGAGTACTCGATCCCTTCCAGTGTTTTGTATTCCACCAGCTTCCGATGACTTTATTGCCAAACGAGAGACGCTTCGACGAAAGGTGTTTCCAGAAAGGGATACGACCGACTCTTAACAATCTTTCTTAAGCATCCCCGTCTTATTTGGTACGTGTTTCGCATCGGCATTCGATGAATGCTCGTCGAACAAATTTACGAGTGTTCTTTCGTCAAACAACCACAGACTTTAATTAAATTCCACGCGGTTACGTGCTCGACTTGCTTGCTTACCGTTTCACAAACATTTACGATACTTAATGTTGATAGATTTCATAATGGTGAAAGAATCGGCGGTGGTGATAATAACGACGGGCGAAACGGAACCGGGCGAGGAGCCGAACGTGAAACGTAATTTGAAGGCGTTCAAGTCGTTCATACCTGGCGTGGCAAAGTTCGCTTGTAAATCTGTCCTTTTGATCGCCACCCAACCGACCGACGTGATGTCCTACATCGCCTGGAAACTGTCTGGATTTCCGTCTAATCGCGTCGTAGGCACCGGTACCATGATCGATTGCGCCAGGTTTCAAGATCTCGTTAGCAGGCGACTGAACGTGGCACGGAGCTCTGTCAGCTGTATGACGGTTGGCGCCCACGGAAATATGGCTGGTATCTAATTACGCAATAATTCCCGTTAATGATTGACATTTCATCGAGTTTCATACGCAGTTCCCATATGGTCGAGTATTCACGTGGGAGGTATGAAGCTCCGCGATATAAACCAAAGAATGGGGGAGCCAGACGACCCTGAAAAGTGGTACGAAATAGCTGAGAACGTGAAGAACATGTCAGTGAACGTTATATCGGGAATGAATAATGAAGAAAATTAATTTGTGATTAATTCGTTTGTATATTTCAGGGGGAAAGAGCTCGAGCAAAAGAAAGGATCTTGCTGTTGGGGTGTCGCTCTCTCCACGGTTGAAATCGTTGATGCCATTGTAAGGAACACGAAAGTCGTACTTCCGGCTTCGACGCACATCCTCGTAAGCCTTTTTTTATTGCAAAAATAATATCTTAACTTTTGAACAGCTGGGTTCGGCTCAATCGTAACAATGTAAAATTTAGAAAATGAAAATAACATGAAATACAAAATTACATTAAAATTGGGGTTCTCTTCATGGTCCGCCGTCCGAGAGTTAAGGGAAAGCAAGGAAATTTGGGAATTTTTTACCCAGAAACTGTAAAACCTTCTTCAAAAAAGGTTTTGCTGTTTAATATATTATATTTTAAAGAACGTAATATAAAAAATACGATGCATTCTTTAAAATATAATATATCAGTTTCTGAAAAAAACAAAAATTCTCAAATTTCTCTGTTTTTTCCGGTCTTCTGACTAGACATGATCTCTTAATAAGAAACACTTTGAAACGGCGTTTGCAGAGTTGCGCCCACGGAACAGACAAGGACGTGTACATGTCGGTGCCCTGCGTGCTCGGCCGAGAGGGTGTGTACTGCACCGTGCGACAGAAGCTAACCGAGCAAGAGAAGTCTGCGGTGCAGACGTGCGCCGACAAGATTCGTAGCGCGTTGCGGGAATGCGGCATCCTGCAGGAGTCCGCGGAAGACGTCGACGAATGAAAGAGAGAAAGAGACGTGGGAGCGAGAGGTGTGCTACCGGAAATTACAGCCAGAGACAGAAGGAGAGGAAGCAACGTTTTAGAAGGCGTCTTCATCAATAACGAGCTCACGCACCTGGCGACCGGTTTTCCATGCGGGTACTCGCGATCCGCGTAATAAATGACAGCGGCAGCAATTCCCTTCCTAGAAAACTATCGCGTCCTTCGAGATCACAAATCATCGGTTGTGTACTTTGTGCAGCATTAACACGTTCACTGTCACGTCGTCTATGTATCTGAGTGATGTATAAATTTATTCACAACTACTTAGGCATCTACTTCTTATCCACTCAATTAGAAGCAATCTTATCAAGTAATTAAGCGTATGCACGTGTAACGAGTGTCATGTTCGAGGGAAAGTTTTAGCTTAAAATCGAAACGAATATTTTTAAAGAAAAGAGACGTTATTCAAGAATTATTCATCTGGTAGATATAGGAAGGAAATACGGAAGAGAATGTTCGATTAGCAATTTAATATTCGTAAACAACCCTGGATTGGTGTCGTTGGCCAGCGGCTCTCGTATGTTCGAGGTAATAGAACGCTTCTCATGTGACCGACAAAGCGGAAATTGAAATTCGTGTAATACAACGTACTCCAGCTGTGACGATTCGACAGCTGTTCATCGACCCTGTAGACCAATCATATTTTTATTTCTTAACCCTTCAACAGCGGATTCTGCGTCAATCGGGGCCCAAATTTACAAAACATATGCAAGAATATTAATTTGATATTTTAATTAATTTAATTTCATATATTGGAGCGGGGGAAAATGTAAAAAATGAAAATATGAAATTCAATTATAATTGGGTCTCTCTCCATGCTCCGCCGTCCAAGGGTTAATATTCCCACGCGCTAACTATCGATTCATGCATAGATAACTTCAAATTTGACAAATTAATCAACGTTTGACAGTTGTTTTCATTACTCGACGTCGTAGCAGCGAAATTTCCAGTGTACCCGAAGAAGTTCTAAATATTTTTACGTTTCATCGGGATAAGACATCGGAGTAGCGGGTATCGGGTTCATCGAGGATGGCTGTACCGAAAAAGAAGTTACCCGGCACCAGCCCGAACACCGCGACGTTTTTGCTCACCAAACAACCGGAAGATTACGTGGACGATCATCGGGTGAAAATCGTCATCGTAGGCAGTGGTTACACGGGTGTTGCCGTTGGAATCGCGATACTCTTCAAGGTTAGCCGAATATCTAACACCTTTGCCGTTTAACTCTTTCGTTTCTAACTGAGAAACCTTATGAACACTGTTGATTTTTACTTCGCACGACTGCGAAGGATATATTCTATGGTGGACAAACGGAATTCGAGGAATGCCCTGGCCACGTTGCGTACGCTAGCGAGGAAGCAGGGTTGAATATAGGCTCGTTAGCGTAGTAGCGGATCAAAAAGGCTATTATGCAAATGATTCACGAAAGACCAGAAGAGGGAATTCGGCTACGGGAGGGAGTCAAGAGATCGGAACGTAAAAGAAGGAAGAAATACGGCAAGGAGGGATGGAGCGGAGGAGCGCACGGTGCTTCCTCTCGCTCGTTATCGGATCGTAACGCGAGCATTTACACGTCGGACGCCCCCGCAAGATCGCCGTAGAGCTGATTTATGTTAGTCACCAGAGGAGGAAAGTTGAAATCCATACCCATCTACGAGGACACCCAACCCTTATCGCGTTCGCTCATCCAAGAACCTGGTTTTCTCGTGCGTGCACCTGAGAGAAGCATAACCTTCGCTCGGTAATTCGAGCGAAATTGGGAATCCCTTCTTTTGTTCGCCAATTCCTGTGCTTTTCACGAACGACTGTCATTACACCAACAGTTTCGGTGTTCCTCGAAACGTAACGCATCGCGTTCTCGTACACTTAACGAAACACAGTCCGGTTAATCGAATGAGTCAGCCGACTTAAACGAACACAATCTCAAATAATTAGCTCGTGCGTGTGCAACGAGGCTTGTGAAAACGAGCCGAACCGTCCGAAGGAAGAACGAGACCGGGTTGCCGGTGCACTTGGTACACATTCCAGCAGGAGGTAATGATCGTGGGCGACTAATGCCAGGTTTCGGTTTCCACGGATCGCGAGGGGGGCGAAGGAAGGCTGTAGACCAGCACAGGGGGCGTACCTGGCTGTCATTAGACTCGTTATGTTGGAAAACGTCGTTGAAACACGCATATGTATGTTTCCAACGACAATGATTATCCTTACACTAATTACTATGTTATCTCGTCGTCAAGACACATAATAACACGAGGAACGTCGCCTGTCATCGCCGTTGAAGGTGTCACTCGTGGGACCATTTTGCAACAGACGCGTCGCTAATTGGAGGGAATTTTTAAATAACGCGACATTCTTATATTGAATGGCTTTCGAAAAATATATTACAAGGTGATGAGAATATGTTTAGCGTAGAAAAGTTTTAGTGATAACGAGGATCGAATAAAACCGCAACGAAAGGTTAAGAAGGCAAAGGAAAAGGAGGTGAGAAAGAATAAAAAGAAGAGTGAACCGTACGGTTGCTCCGCTCGTCTCAGCTTGGCAGATCGCATCAACGAGATGATCGCAACGAGGTACCAGGGTTCCGGTACCATCTCCACCGGCTCCAGTGTCCACCTTGCAAGCTTACTACGCCCAGCTTCCTCTCCTCGGTAGTACTTGCATAAGACGTTCATCTTCTTCTTCGTCTCGTCGTATCCTCGGCTGGTTGTAACATGTCATGTCCGTCGGGCCGCATTAAATCGTACAAACCATCATACAGGTCGCTGACGCTTATCTTTTCTGCTTCCTCTCCCGAAATCTTCTCTTTCGACGAAGAATAAAAATACAAGATACATATTCCTTGTATCCAGGGTTAAAACGACGATATTGGTGGATGCTAATTAGAAAACAAGGAGACACGATACACCGGAAGAATAATAAAACGTGTGACGGATCGAGTGTCACACCTTCGGTGTCCTGCGGTTCTTCCAAGCGGAATCGACCAGGTTAACCAAGAGTGAAACGTTCGCTAGGTAACTAGAACCGCATGAGAGAATGCGAGATGCAACGGTGAAAAAGGCGGTGGGTTTTGCTATTTGCCTTTTGTAATTAACGACACACTTCGCTTCACCTGAATCGCTCGGAACGTTCCACGGATATTTGTTTTCTCTGCGGCGGGGTTGTTGGTCACGCGTCATTAAAAAATCTCGTTACAAAACACACACGGGCCAGGGCGGTTTGTAAGTTAATTACCGCGCAATGTCGTCGCACGATACGCGTTAGTATTATGAGGGCTGACAGGAGAAACGGGGAGGGGAAAAAAAGAAATAAGATGAGGGTACGCCACACGATGAGTCCACGCGGGGAAACTTCATCAGCTGCGATATTATGCATGCTACGGAAGTCATGCTTGATGAAGTATGGTGATTAAGCGGTGTACAATAACAGATTGGAAGCACAAGGGCGTAACGTAATATATTTAAGAAGCCGTTTCTGTTTGGTAGCCGCGGGTTTGTCTTAACGTGTGAAAGTAACATCTGTCAGAGAAAAATGTGTCCATCTGCTCGAGCGTGAACGAAAGCGAGGAAGCGAGAATATTTTACCACGAAAAACAGCCTCGTCCGACAACGATGCCCTATTATTCACGGCACGAATTAGACCGTGATTAAGAGAAATCTAGCGGAGTTGAAAACGCGATAAGATTGATGCCCAGCTGTCGTTGGGAAAGAATTTTCACTCGAAATTATGGATGTTAAATGAAAGAGGAACATCAATTATTAGAATAGAAAGAGATCTCGAGGAACACGCAATAACGTAGTTTTAACCCTTGAACGGCGGACCATAGAGAAAGCTTCAATTTTAATTTAACTCTGTATTTCTAAATTTCATACTGCTCCTTTGAAAATTATTTTTGTGAACATGTAACTTTAGATTAATATCCTTGTATATATTCTGCAACTTTGGGTCACGATTCAGGCTCCGCTATTCAATGGTTAAGAAAAAAGACTATTGCTGTTCGATCAATTATTGCGATATATCCTTTCGACGTTGAAAATCTTTGGCATCGCTTTCTTTCGATGAACAATGAGCGCATTGAAGACATTGATGCAACACCAAGAGAAAGTTACGATGCTGAATGCTGTTATGAAGAACTTTCAAAAATGAACACGTTGAAATACCGTGATGATTACCAATGTTCGGTGATATGTTAAGAACAGAAAATTCTGAGTATCACTGATTGCCTTGATAGCGTTTTATGTCCTAACTTATCAGTTGCAATTTACAAAAGACTTGAAATTCAAATTTTTCGTCGATTCTCGTTACACCGGGTTGGTAAATTAAACGAAAAGAGAGAGCCTCGATCGAGAAGCATAAAATGGGCCGCTCTCGAACCGCTTCGTCCCACTCGAACGTAGGCGATCAATCCCTAACGATCCTTCGCATTAAGGGATCGCTCGAATGGTGCGATCGATCGCGCGGGTGCTCTTAATGCGATTCCATGGGCTCCTGATTGCATAACTATACCAAGCGCGTAATAACTCTGTGGCTAGCGACCGGTTCCTGTTAATTACTCTTCATAATCTTCTGTTGCTCGTGCTTTTTGCAGCGGTTGGCCTCTGAGCTGGTGTTCATAGACGCGAACGAGGATCTGGCCAAGGCGGAGGCGGAAGACATCGGTCATGTGGCAGCGTTCCTAGGAGATCCGAAGATCATCGGCACCAAAGGTGAAAATAAATTTCGACCTTCGATTTGTTTGCAACATTCACCCAGATCACGATCGTTTTGCAGATTATTCGTTAGCTAGGGAAGCGGCTGTTTGCGTGATTACCGTCGGCGACAAGTCGACGAACGAGGAAGCCTCGTTAGAACAGAATTTGAATGTCTTCAAAGAGGTTATACCTAACGTCTGCAAGTATGCACCGAACAGTGTACTCTTGATCGTCACGTCACCAGGTATACTTCTTTCTACTTTTAAAACTT